GGGTATAAGACTCCACCCTTAGAGCAATGCCTTCAAATGATTAACACGAGTTAAGCGCTCAGTCGTAAGGGACACGACTCCAACGGGTGTAACACTCCACCCTTAGAGCAACGCCTTCAAATGATTAACACGAGTCAAACACTCGGTCGTTAGGGGCACGGCCCTAAAGGGTGTAAGACTCCACCCTTGGAGTAACGCCTTCGAAATGATTAATACAAGTCAAGCACTCGGTCGTTAGGGGTACGGCCCCGAGGGGTGTAAGTTCTCGGACGTTATATACTCGGTCCCGAGGGATTCTAAGACCCAAAAGCAAGTTCAACGCGAGTTCGCTCGGATTTCACTTACTAGGAATTTCTCTTTCCTTATGGATTCAACGTGAAGCCTTGCTACCTTAGGTCTACCTTTCATGCTAATTCAGAAAGTCGTTACTGACTTATAACATTAAGGTCGTTTCCCAGAAACAAAGTGGCATGATGCAGGAAAGAAAGAAGAACACATGCAGAAAAAAAAAAAAAAAGAAGTTTCATTACAGTCAAAAAGGGACTTTGCGTCCCCGAGCGTACAAAGAAAGTTACAAAACAAGTCAAAAGCATTGAACATAAAAGTTGCACAAATCCCCCGGCTGTTAAGAGCCCTTGGCTCCTTCCTTCCTAGCATCTCCGCCACCGAGGCTGCCACGCCACCCTTGTAGCCCCTCTCCAACCCTCAATAGCTCGTCAAGTTCAGTATCATACCCTCCTATAATGATGGGGGCGGGGAAGGAGGAAGGTCATCCCCTTGTTCGACAGGTGAAAGGGACGGAAGAATAGGAGAAGGCTGATCAAAACCGTCGCTAAGGGTGATAGGTTCATTCTCACCCTTGGCCTCGGTCTCTCCTTCAGCCTGAACTTGCTCAATTGGGTCGGCTTGGACTTGTCCTTCGAGAACCTCATCATCAACCTCACTTCGGAGGCTATGCATGACAAACAAGTCCGAGCTGGCCTCAACGTGGCAGGTGCAAAGGGTGGCATCACAACCTTCTTTGAAAGCCTTTTTCTTGGCTTCCTTGAAGACAAAGACCATCTAGTCTTGGGTAGCCAATCACACCCATTGGCATTCCAACTACAGTCTTTCCTACTCCCCCGCCTTCTCTGTTGTCAGGGAGTCCACTTTGGCAGTAAGCTCATTAATGACGAATTCGGACTCCTGCAGCTTGACCTCTGCAGAGGAGATTCGAAGCTCATACTCTTCAACCTTCTTGACCACCACAGCTTCACCCGCCTTTACCTTTTTCAACTCGGTGATATGCCGGGTCTGGTCACCGAGGGTATTCTCCACCTTGAGAATATGCTCATCTTTATCAGTCGCTGCTCGCTCAACGTTCCTCGCCGCTTGCTTATACTCCCAAAAACGCTTGATGATGGCCCATACCTGCTAGTAAGCTGGCTTGAGAAGGGAAAGGACTTGGGTCAGAAATGAACTACTATTCGATAAGGAGTACTCGGGAAAGTATCTCACTTACCACCAGGTTGCTTTGAATAGCGCTCATTAGGAGTCGGTTGTTCGTATAACCTTTGTACACTGCCATATCAGCATTGAATTGGAAGGTCTCCGCGACGGCAAGGGCCACTTTAGGGTACTGAAGAATAGAGTCTGCCTCCAAGATAGGGCAGCCCCTCCTGGTTTCCACTCGGGGGGGCTATTCGGCGGAGACAGCCGGGCCCAGGGCGTTGTGACAGGGCTTGACTCAACGTTCTTCCGACTCCTCGGACTCCCGGGCGCATCCCTCCCTCTGTCGATCTTCGGAAGGGGGCACTTGTTGACATGGGGCCCTTTGCCTCGGTGGCACAACTGGATCCCTGGAAGGCTGAGGATACGGCGACGGCAGAGGTGGTTATCGTCGGGGAGAGGCCAGCGGTGGAATGATAGGAGTCATGCCAGAAGGCCCAGCCAGTCCAACAAGCCTAGCTCTCTTCGTCGCGGCAGCGGTCTCCATTGTTGCAGCAGTGATTGGGGGAAGGTTGAACATTTCTTCAGAAGGGGCAGGGGGATCAGCAATAATGTGCTCTGAATCTTTCTCGGACTCTTCATCTTCCGATGAAGAGTGGTCTTCTTAAAAAGCAGGATTGAATGGCGGGGATATCTAAGAGAACCTGTTATAAGTAGGCACGTAGCCAAGTAAGGTATACGCCGCTCGCTCAACGAGATCGTGAGACCAAACTCTTAGGAGGTCAGCAAATCTAACTTGAGACCTCAAGGGTTGGGCTGCGTCCTGGCGGTATCTTTCTGCAAAAATGAAATAGTCGAGAATAGTACCAATTATAACGAGATCAAAACGAGTCTGAAGAAGGGGAAAACACACCTTCATCTCTCGACACTTTGAGACAGTACAATCTGACATACTCAGGCCCCTGTCCCTTCTCCCAATTACCGTCGAGCATGATTAGATCATTTACATACCTTTTGTCCGAGTCAAGCATGTGGGTTACCAAATACATTGAGGTATCCCGGGCCTAGAGGTAATATCTCCCCCCGACGACTAGCCTTAGGTCATAACAGAGTAAAATTTCGTCTACCCCTAAGTCTGTCTCTAGCCGAGCATTCAAGGCGACTATGCCCATCACAATTCTAAAGAAATTAACCCTGCATTGAAGAGGGAAGAGTTTCAATTGGATCAACATCTTCAGCAACAGAGGATGGAGAAGGAAGGTTAACCCCCCTTCCATGATGGTCGTGGTCCAAAAATGCATTATGTCTATACTTCTCATGTCCCTCCTATGGTGGGTGGGGTTGAAAGGGAAGGTGAAAACATGCTCAGGAATGTTATACTTAACCCTAAAGGCATGAATGTTCTCATCAGTCACTTGAGTTCTCCTCAGTTTGGGGTTTACCCTAGCCTGACAGGTTACTCTCATAGTTCTACTAGTTCTAGCCATTGGTGGGTTCTAAAAGGGAAAAATGTAGAAGAAATGAGAAAGAAGCTTGAGAGGAAGTACTTACAGGAAGGTGGTCTTCGAAGAGGGAACTCGGAGGAGAACGGAGGGAACTCGGGGGAGAACAGAAGAGTGCTCGGGGGTTGATTGCTGAAGGGAAGCTGAGGATGCAAAAATTTTGAGAAGGCATAAGCACCCCCTATTTATACTGTTGTGCAAGGGGCGGGAATCGAGAAGTTGAGCCATCTTTAGAGAATTTGAAAAGGGCGGCGCCAAACGTGCAAGTAACCGTTGTTATTAATGAGGCGTGTTTATTGAGCCTCCACCCTCTTTACGCCACTTGTCCCACGCCGCAAAAGGAATGGAGGCTGGGAGGCAGTTGGCAGGACTCTAGGCGGGTTTGTAGCCCACAGACTGACATGTAGAGTAACGGAGCCGTTGAGATGACCAAAAGGCGCCGAGGAGGTAAGCCGAGATATTAAGCCTCAGAGGAGCCGAGTACGATGATTGACACCGCATTTAATACGATGTGACCGCTCATTTATGGTGGAATAAGTGATGGTGACAAGGCCATTAATAAGCGCCTGCATTCTGAGAATCTAGGCCTACTATCATGATAGCTAGGCATTGATAGATGCTACGCCGAATACATGCGTTCGGTTTTCCTCGAGGAACTATTCCCCCCGAGTATTCAATGCACAGTTGCGGGTCACACCGATTGGAGGGAAGTGGAAGCTTGTGAGTAGGCATAAATGCTCGGTGACACGCCGAGCATTTATCCTGTCAATCCTAGCATTGAATGGGACAAGACTGAAGTGGAGAACATTCATTGCACAGGAAGAGGTGTGTTAGACATTAAATGTCCAGATGGGACTGGGGGGTTCTTTGGCAATTATTACTAATTCAGGTATAAATATCCCTCATAAAAGTGAGCAAAGGTACGCAACATTGAACCAGAAAAATCATATTCATTGATCTTGAACCTCGAATCTTGAGACTGACTTAAGCTTCGGGGGGGAATAAGCCGAGTGTTTACCTGGCCCCCTTTTTCTGACCCTATGATTATTGCAGGCTCACCAGGTTGAAGGTTGCTATCTCAAATTATTGCAGGAATTATCTCGTGCAAAGACCATTCAGTTCTTTCTCTGTTTGTTTTTTGTTTTTCGTTTTTCCCTTTGTTTTACATTTAGGGTTGGGGTATTAAAAGGTGGGATAGAGTAAATTAGTACATGAGACTCATGTATATCTTTTTCGTTATATAATTTATGTTCAGTACTATTTTTCTGATCTCAATCTTTACCCCGATAGCTACAGTAACAATATACATAGGTGTATTTAGTGTATAATAAATCAATATTATTCACATCGACAATATAAACTACATAGCTACTATAATACCTTTTTATCCACATCCTCATTGTTGGGATTCAATGCGCTTTAAACTCACAAGCAAACACACACAATCGAAGAACAAACCAAAGACATAAAACAATGAGAAGTAAGAAAGAACAAGACACAAACAAATTTTACATGATTCGACAATTTACCTACGTCCATAAAACTATAAGGATTTCACTATTGAGAGAATATAATACAGAGGGCGGCTATACAATTACACTCTAACCCTAATCATCAAAGTAACAGATTTTTATATGTCCCGTGTATCGGACTACAAAACAGGCCCAAGTCTTCACTTCATGGACCAAGCCTCATAAAATTTTTCATTAAAGTCACGCAATATTATTTCAGGTCAGGTTATCATCCGAATCAACACACAAACTAGACTCCACAAAAGCCCAACACTCATGTTTTGCAATAAGGTTAAAAATGTCTCTCAATGAAATATGTCACCTCACATTTTTATTTTTTTTTATGAATTCCACTTAATTCATTTATATAAAAAAAAAAAAACAAGAGGCAGTATTGAATAAAAGTGTAATAATAGTATTAATATTCCTTTGCATAAGTTTTGTACGAAGAACATTTGTCAATATTAACAAGTGCTATCCAACAATCAAAGCTCTCGATGCTCTTCAGCTACTTTAAGGACACAATTTGCTTAAAACAAGCTCTAATTGCCAAAGCAAACTATACACTTTCTCCCCTCTCCATTGCAGCCAAAGTATCAAACAACGGTCGGTTTAAAGTCTCCGGCAGGTAAACCGCCAGAGCACCACCCAAAATACCACATGCCCCAAACACCGCAAATGCCACTCGACCACCGAGAACCACCACAAACGGTGCCACTATCGCACCCATATGCAATGCCTGCGCTGCACATCCAAGAGCTGCATTTCTCACTACCGTCGGAAACAACTCCAGTGAATAAATCAGCAGCAAATTATAAGTTCCGGCCATTCCAAAAACACCCAGAATACCACACACCATCCTCACCACTTTCCACTCTCCATGGCTCTTCAATAAGCTCCCTATAATGCAAAACAGCCCACTGAAGAACTGTGTCCCAATCGTTAATGGCTTCCGACCAATNTCTTCAATAAGCTCCCTATAATGCAAAACAGCCCACTGAAGAACTGTGTCCCAATCGCTAATCGCTTCCGACCAAATTTATCGAGTAAAACTATCGTTAATATAAATGCCGGCATTTCTGATATTGCATTCAAGAAGACGTTGAGATAGAGGTTGGTTTTGAGATTGACGACGTTTAAAGTAAGGCCATAGTACACAACTGTGACTGTGAAATAAATGGTCATCGTTAGAAATAGCCGGAAACGTGCCACCGGGGACCGGAGAATATCTATGACAGAACCGGTGATGGGTTTTCTTGGTTCCCCTTCAGCTTCATTTGGAGTCATATTGGCATCAACTTCTTCGTCCAGGACAAGAAGGACACTGCCGGGAAGGTGTTTTCTGTTTGATTTGGCAATTTGTTGCATGATTTTCATGGCTTGTTTGGTCTTCCCTCGGACTAGGTACCACCGGGGAGACTCATTGATGAAAGGAAGGATCAAAATGAAGAGGATAGAGGGGACGGAAGAAGCGATATACAGAGCACGCCATGATGGGAAAATGTAAGCTATACCTGAAAGAATGGCGATACCGGCGGAGTAGAAGTAGAAAGTGGACATTCCGGCGACGGTGCGCTTGTTGGGGCCGATGGGTTCGGTGGCGAGAACGAAAGCACAGACGCCGACGCCGCCGGTGCTGAAGCCGGTGAGAATTCGGAACAAGACATATGTCCAGTAGTGTGGAGATAATGCGGTTAAATTGCCAAAGACAGCGTTTAAGAAGCAAATGACTGCTAGTGACCCTCTCCTTCCCAGTTTGGAGTCCGAGAGATGGCCAAATACTCCAGCACCTGAATCAAAAAAATGATTAAATAGAAAAAACATATGTTAATCATTGTATAATTTCATCACAATCATTAAATTAACAATAAACTCTAATATTTTATGGACTCGGGGTTAATTCAATAATTATAATAAATTAAATCAACAAATTAAATTCTAATAACATTATTTATTAAAAAATTAACAGGATAATATTATGGTGAACAAAATTTAACACGATAGTACGAATTGACGTAAAATTAATAGGTTTGAGTTTTGAAGAGCCATAAATTTATGTCATGTGTACAAATAAAAACAGTTTGGGACGAGGCAAATCAAACCACTATAGCTCAATTCATATTAACGAGCATAAATGCACAACTCAGGTTGAAGGCATGACCTAAGCCGAACAATAGAAAAGTGCCTATAATTAAGGAATTTAGGTACAACAACTAAGCAAAGTCAATGACTCAAAAGAATTGCAATCAAGAGAGCATTTGAAAGATTTTTGCGATCCCCAACAATCATTCCTGAATGAAGAGATATGTGTAATCTCTCCCACTGATAAAGGAAACCCTAGTAACAGGACAAAGTTTATATAAAGCAGGCAGGATACATGGCGAAAGGTAAGTAGAATCATCTTTGCATACATATTCCTCTTATACAGACTTAAGTATCAAAGTGTCTTTAATCAAAGTACTTTGGTCCTAGGCAATTTGTTCATTTTTGCAAGAGGGGGCTTTAAAAGAAAAACACAACTATCTTCATCAAACCTAGGAGATATTGCAATTCTACCGCCTACCGATTTGATCTTAATGAATCTAAATGGTAAAAAAGTGGAATTGTTTGACCCACATGATAAACAAGTTGTGTTATGATAGAGTATTTTAACTCGTTTACCACCCAATTGATTACCCGTTTATCAATCAATTACCCATTTAATAGATGATTCAATTTGTTGCAAAATTAAGACTTTTAATTAAAAACTTTTAGTGTTGTAGAATTAACAAATAACAGGGTCAAATCATGCNTTTCTCGATTTCCGGTGATTCGGCCGGAGGTTCGAGTTCTTGGTCGCCATGGACTGAAAACGAATTGGGTAAAATATCAACCATGGGTTGTTTTTGGGTGTTTGTAGTTTTGTTTTGGAGAGATGGTAATGTCACATGAAGCTAACAAAGGAAGAATCCCTATTTTGATGTCTCAACTACTCGCAAGGTAAGTATATAGTTATATTATTTTTGCCCAATAATCCGAATATTCCAAATTCACTATGCCATATTTTAGAATTCAAGTCTCAAGCAAAGGATCACGCTTTTTTTGTTTTCATTTTTCTTTATGGTTATAGAATAAATTCCCTAGTGTCAACTAAATTGATTTGCGAAAGGGTAATTCTTGTTAAATCTAATCTTTTTCATCTAATTTATTGATTTAATCATTCATTATTATTGAATTTACGGTATTTCTTTTTGAAACCCGTTATCGATCCAACAGTTATGATGAATTATATCAACAAAATATATTTGTTTATTAAATCTAAATAATATTATTATTTAAAAAAAATTCTCTGCAATCTAAAGTAATCTGAACTGGTTGAAAAGTCTTTTACATCTCCTATATGGACAACATAGAAAGTCTCCACTTCCCCAAAAAAACATAGAAAGTCTCAAAAAAAAAAAGACAGACAGAATGCTTCTGAAAATGATAGCAATATCTATTTTCATATCAGAACAAACCTGTCGAATATTTACGTAAAAGGAATTCAATATGCAAAACTGTGTAGGTATATGATTCCAAACTTTTAGTTTATTTATTTTTTAGCAAAAATGTTCGTGCATGTACTAAAATAAATGTTTTTTTAAAAAATTTTAATAGTTANCGGAAACAAAGAGGAAAAATTTCCAGTTTCGTCATCTTCACAGTTCGTATCAATCTTTTCTAACCTTTTCCCCCAAACTCCAACTCCGAAAAAGAGTTAGAATAGGTTTAACACACAAGCTAATTCTCTTAGGAATGTACGATAAGTCTAAGGCAAGACATCTGTTTCATGAGTTTTGAGTTGAGTCCTACCATGATCACTATCTATCCCACAGAGGTGACATTAACCATTTCAGAAGTCAAAAACAAACAGACATATTAGGGACATAGATTATGATCACCGGGTGTATGAGCGTCAGGATCATGGATTCGAATTAAGAAAATAATCATTTCATATGACACTAGCTTTTCTTGTTTAGATGATCATGTTAAAGAGCATTAACCAGAGAGAGAGAGAGGGAGCGGAAGCTCACCGATCATGCAGCCTACGAAAAACAGAGACTGAACCAACCCAACTTTATATCTCTCACCACAGACCAAGCCCCACTCAGCCACCGTCGAGCTTCCCTTACCATGGATCCACTCCCATGAGCCAGGCCTAAGGTCACAGACACTATGGGCGTCGGGCGAGCAACCCCGCCCAGAGCCACCGTCCAAGCACCGCCAGCCCGGTTGGCGGTCGGCGAAGATCATGACGGTGGTGTGAATGGACTCGAGAGCCCAAGCCAAGCATGTCAACAAGAAGTGCCTCAATTGCCAGGACCCGAACTCGCCGCAATACTTCTGTAACATGTCATCCACACCCAGTTTCTCGATTTCCGGTGATTCGGCCGGAGGTTCGAGTTCTTGGTCGCCATGGACTGAAAACGAATTGGGTAAAATATCAACCATGGGTTGTTTTTGGGTGTTTGTAGTTTTGTTTTGGAGAGATGGTAATGTCACATGAATTTAACAAAGGAAGAATCCCTATTTTGATGTCTCAACTACTCGCAAGGTAAGTATATAGTTATTCAAGTCTCAAGCAATGGATCACGCTTTTTTTGTTTTCATTTTTCTTTATGGTTATAGAATAAATTCCCTAGTGTCAACTAAATTGATTTGCGAAAGGGTAATTCTTGTTGAATCTAATCTGTTTCATCTAATTTATTGATTTAATCATTCATTATTATTGAATTTACGGTATTTCTTTTTGAAACCCGTTATCGATCCAACAGTTATGATGAATTATATCAACAAAATATATTTGCATATTAAATCTAAATAATATTATTATTTAAAAAAATTTCTCTGCAATCTAAAGTAATCTGAACTGGTTGAAAAGTCTTTTACATCTCCTATATGGACAACATAGAAAGTCTCCACTTCCCCAAAAAAACATAGAAAGTCTCAAAAAAAAAAAGACAGACAGAATGCTTCTGAAAATGATAGCAATATCTATTTTCATATCAGAACAAACCTGTCGAATATTTACGTAAAAGGAATTCAATATGCAAAACTGTGTAGGTATATGATTCCAAACTTTTAGTTTATTTATTTTTTAGCAAAAATGTTCGTGCATGTACTAAAATAAATGTTTTTTTAAAAAATTTTAATAGTTATGGGTGTCTGGATCAACTTACGCGCACTTCGATTAATTTTTTCCTCGATCCGCTTAATTATAGGTCATCCACGTTAGAATTAGAATATTCATGAAGGATAAATCTCTCATAATCTAGTACTAAGGGTCTGTTTGGTTAGAAGTAAAAAATGATGAAAAGTGAAATGAAAGAAATAAAAATGATATAAAATATATTTTCATGAATGCATTTGATTAGGATAAAAAATTTGCTAGAAAATTTTTTTNTGATTCGGCCGGAGGTTCGAGTTCTTGGTCGCCATGGACTGAAAACGAATTGGGTAAAATATCAACCATGGGTTGTTTTTGGGTGTTTGTAGTTTTGTTTTGGAGAGATGGTAATGTCACATGAATTTAACAAAGGAAGAATCCCTATTTTGATGTCTCAACTACTCGCAAGGTAAGTATATAGTTATTCAAGTCTCAAGCAATGGATCACGCTTTTTTTGTTTTCATTTTTCTTTATGGTTATAGAATAAATTCCCTAGTGTCAACTAAATTGATTTGCGAAAGGGTAATTCTTGTTGAATCTAATCTGTTTCATCTAATTTATTGATTTAATCATTCATTATTATTGAATTTACGGTATTTCTTTTTGAAACCCGTTATCGATCCAACAGTTATGATGAATTATATCAACAAAATATATTTGTATATTAAATCTAAATAATATTATTATTTAAAAAAAATTCTCTGCAATCTAAAGTAATCTGAACTGGTTGAAAAGTCTTTTACATCTCCTATATGGACAACATAGAAAGTCTCCACTTCCCCAAAAAAACATAGAAAGTCTCAAAAAAAAAAAGACAGACAGAATGCTTCTGAAAATGATAGCAATATCTATTTTCATATCAGAACAAACCTGTCGAATATTTACGTAAAAGGAATTCAATATGCAAAACTGTGTAGGTATATGATTCCAAACTTTTAGTTTATTTATTTTTTAGCAAAAATGTTCGTGCATGTACTAAAATAAATGTTTTTTTAAAAAATTTTAATAGTTATGGGTGTCTGGATCAACTTACGCGCACTTCGATTAATTTTTTCCTCGATCCGCTTAATTATAGGTCATCCACGTTAGAATTAGAATATTCATGAAGGATAAATCTCTCATAATCTAGTACTAAGGGTCTGTTTGGTTAGAAGTAAAAAATGATGAAAAGTGAAATGAAAGAAATAAAAATGATATAAAATATATTTTCATGAATGCATTTGGTTAGGATAAAAAATTTGCTAGAAAATTTTTTTAAAAAATCACTCTATTGTTTGAAAGAAAGGGAAGTTACAAGAATTTTTTTTTAATTTTCTAAATTACCCTCAATTATATTAAATCGGTCTAAAGAAAAAAAATATATATATATTATAATTAAAAATTAAAAAATTAAAAAAAAAGTGACCCGTAACCTNTTTATCTTTTGTATATAACCATATTTTATTAGGTTGTAGACTAATATTACTTAAAAAAAAGTAAATGAAAACTAAATACTGTTTTTAAAAATTAACAAACATTGTGATTAGGGGCGAAACCAAAGAATTTTGCTCAGAGTGGACACTTTAATTACAAACATTAATATTTTTTTTCCTAACCAGTCACATTATATAATATATTNTTAAAAAAAAAAGTGACCCGTAACCTAATCTCAGGACAAGCACCAATATGAAAGTCTTAAAGCCAAATTATATAGTTGATCAAATCCATCCCAATATTTTTTTTAAATTAATAACCAATAGAATAATTTAAGAAAAATAAGAATAAAATGAAAAGTTAATTATAGATCACAACTTTCTTGCATTTCCTTATGTTTTTTACAAGAAAAAAAAGTTTGTTAGTTGAGAGGAAATTCAAGTATGAAAAAAAATTATTTTTTCATCATTTTTTATTTCATACTAACCAAATACATAAAAAATTTAAAAATATTCTCTTTTTGTCATTTTTTACCATTCTCTTACTAAACAAATGAATTTTAAGGGGTTGACATGATTCGAATTTAAGACGTGTGAGTTTACGATTCGTCTATGCTACTATTTGATGTATCTTTAGGGTTAAATACATGTTTTCGATGTCAACAATGATGGAACGAAATCTAAGAAATGTGGTAGTAGATGAGTAGGGGCGGAACCAAAAATTTTATTCAGGGTGGACACTTTAATTACACACATTAATATTTTTTCTCCTAATCAATCACATTATATAATATATTTATATTTATATTTATTATATTATATTTAATACATGAAGTCCATTAAACATAAAAAATACCANTTTATCTTTTGTATATAACCATATTTTATTAGGTTGTAGACTAATATTACTTAAAAAGGAGTAAATGAAAACTAAATACTGTTTTTAAAAATTAACAAACATTGTGATCAGGGGCGAAACCAAGAATTTTGCTCAGAGTGGACACTTTAATTACAAACATTAATATTTTTTCTCCTAACCAGTCACATTATATAATATATTTATAATATTTATATTTATATTTATTATATTATATTTAATACATGAAGTCCATTTAACATAAAAAATACCAAAAAAATGTATATTGTCAGGGGCGGAGCCATTAATGTCTATGAGGGGAGCAAAATATAATTGGTATAAAAAAATATTTAGCCGAAATTGATACAAAAAATTTAGTTCAAGAATGACTAAAAAGTAAGAATTAATATAAAATTATTGTGAAATAGTAAATTCAATTTTTATTTAGCCAAAACAAAATCCTAACAAACAAACACAAAATAATTTTTTAAGTACATTTTAACCTAATTATATCTATATAANAAAAAAATGTATATTGTCAGGGGCGGAGCCATTAATGTCTATGAGGGGAGCAAAATATAATTGGTATAAAAAAATATTTAGCCGAAATTGATACAAAAAAATTTAGTTCAAGAATTACTAAAAAGTAAGAATTAAGATAAAATTATTGTGAAATAGTAAATTCAATTTTTATTTAGTCAAAACAAAATCCTAACAAACAGACACAAAATAATTTTTTAAGTACATTTTAACCTAATTATATCTATATAATAAGATAACTCACAAATTGAATTTTATCCTCTATATATTTTTCTCCCCAAAAATATTATGTCACTCATTTCTATCACATACTCAATTATTTTAATATATTGATTTATTTATAATTTAATATAATTTTTATTTCAAATATTATTCCTACATGATAGTGTACGTATGTTAACAATTTTTTATCGAATTACGTATTTTTTATATAAATTAAATATAAATTAATTTTTCACAAATTTTCTATCAATGAGCACAATCACAAATCTATAGTAAAATTATTCTTTATTTAGTTGCAAAATTTGGTTGAAATTATTATCATTTTATAGAGAAATTCCCTATTTGAAATAGTTTGAAATATTTTTAGGTTACAACCTTTTGTCTTTTATATATAACCATATTTTATTAGGTTATAAACTACTATTATTTAAAAAATAGTAAATGAAAACTAAAATCTGTTCTTAAAAATTAACAAACATTGTGATAGATAAATAAAAACATTGTATATTCGTCAATATACAAATAGATCATTTACTCAATCTAAAACTAACATTTATTTTAGAAGGTTAGTAGTCCACTAATTTATTGAAAAAAAAAAGACTAGAACCATTTTCAAAAAATTAGGGGGAGCAAATATACTAGATATTAGATCAGATAGGTTTTAGTCAAGTGGACCAAAAGCTTTGTTTTTCAATGATGGGTGGGCAAAAAGTTTTGTTTTTAATGTTGGCCAAAATTTTTATTTTTTTAATAGGTTTCGGTGGATTGTAATAGATCAAAATTTTGATTTTTTAATAAGTTTTGGTAGATAATTGTGGACTCAAGATTTTTTATTTTAAATGGGTTTAATTTTTTAATTCTTTTGGGTAAATAATATGGGTCTAATATTTTTATCTTGAGTTTTGGGTGGGCACAAATAATATATTATACAAATATATAATATATATAACTAACTAATAAAAAAAAAAAAAATTTGAAGGGGGCACTTGCCCACCGTCCCCCATGCCGCCCATGTAGATGAGTATTACAAAATCAATATCCATAATTGGACATAAAATACAAATATAAAAAAAAACATGATAGTTGAAAGCAATGCCCAAATAAATAAAAAAATAAAAAATAAACAAAGAAAAATAAAAATAAAAAATAAAAAAAAGGTGGACATTGATTTTTGTTGTGTTTCTTGTTTCGAACGAAATTTTTATTTTTATTTACCACAAAATAAAATAAAAATTTCTGTGTTTATTCCTGGACAGTATCTCTAAAAATACATATTGAAAGTCTTTAGTATAGTTTTAGGTCACTTTGATGATAAAAAGATGTGTTCCTTATATCACACGCCATTTCATTGAAAAAAAAGTAGAAATATATGCTCTTTCTTCTTCACTTTCATGCCTTTATTCATTGATTCTCCGTTTTAGTTCCGACCATTATCAGATAAGAATTGAATATATAAGCACTCAGGTCATTTTATCGTCTACCCCTTGTAATTAAATCTAAACTTTAATGATACTCTTTCTCGATTCTAAAATTTCATTTTCACTCCTTGTCGATGTTTGTCAGATTACGACGTTAACGACAATAATTGATTTACAAAAATACCCTTGATTATTTTATTAGATAAATTTTATCCACACCCCTTGTAAATAAACTTAACTTTAATAATATCCCTGTAAATAGACTTGACTTAAACAACACATCCTTTCGATTTTGAAATTTTAATGCACTATCTTTTAGTTCTATTATATTAGTGTTTAGGTACATCAATTTAATATTTAATTTTATCAAGTTAATGTCTTTTATTTAATTTAAACTAAATTAACATTTTATCTCATCAAATTAACATAAAATTGATAATTAATTTTATCAAATTAGTATTTAGTTATATCAATTTAATTTTTTATTTCGTCAAATTAATACTATTTCTTTAATCTAACATTAAATTAATATTTAATTTCATCAAATCAACAATAAATTGATATTCAATTTTATTAAATTAAAATTTAATATATTAGATAAAATATTAAAGCCTGAGGATTATTTACACAACTAAATAGGGTTAATTATAAAATGTCTTGTTCAAGTTTTGGTCACATTCAAACAACTCCCTCTAGTTTTAGTTTGTAACAATTTATTCCCTCAAAGTTTAAATATTTACAAATTAAGTCAAGCCGGTAATTTTGACAGTGAAAAATGACAAAAAAATATTTATTTGCAAATCACGTGATCTCAAATTCTATGAAGAGACGGGATCATCATTTTATCTTGAGAATAAGAATGGATAGTTTTTTACCTAAAAAATTGAATTTAGTGTAATTTTATCTTTTCAATAAATATGAGATCATATGACTTAATTTTTATTATTTTTCATTGTCGAAACAAACAATTTGAGTTAATTGAAAAATGTACAACCTTTTAAGAATAATTTGTTAATTGCACTAAAGGTCCCTAAAGTATGAGAGTTGTATCATTTTGGTTTTTAATATTTCAATTGGATCATCTTAGTCCATAAAGTATTGAATATATTTCTATTGAATCCCTTAAACATACAACATTCAGATTGCTAACGATTTTTTATCATAAAATTGTCACGTAATACCTAAATATAAATAAAAATAATAAAAATTTAAATAACTCTTAACCAAATTTGTACTCAAATTTTGATCAAAGAATTATCCAAATTACACAATTTTGATTATAAATTATCCAAATTTTGGTCAAGAACTATCCATATTATACATTTTTTGTCAAGAGCTACCCAAATTTTGGTCAAGAATTACTTAAATTATTTTTTATCCATATTTAGGTATCACGTGACAAGTTTATAATCAAAATCGTTAGCAATTTAGATGTTGTCTGTTTGAGGGATCACATATAAACATAAAAAATAGATTCTTTACACAAAACCAATCAAAATTGAAGAGCTACATTTATATCTTTTTCGTTATATAATTTATGTTCAGTACTATTTTTTTGATCTCAATCTTTACCCCGATAGCTACAGTAACAATATACATGGGTGTATTTAGTGTATAATAAATCAATATTATTCACATCGACAATATAAACTACACAGCTACTATAATACCTTTTTATCCAGCTACTATCATTGTTGGGATTCAATGCGCTTTAAACTCACAAGTAAACACAAACAATCGAAGAACAAACCAAAAACATAAAACAATGAGAAGTAAGAAAGAACAAGACAGAAACAAATTTTACATGATTCGACAATTTACCTACGTTCACAAAACTGTAAAGATTTCATTATTGAGAGAACAGAATACAGAGGGCAACTATAAAATTACACTCTAACCCTAATCATCAAAGTAATAGATTTTTATATGTCCTGCGTATCGGACTACAAAACAGACTCAAACCTTCACTTCATGGACCAAGCCTCATAAAACTTTTCATTAAAGTTACGCAATATTATTTCAGGTAAGGTTATCATCCGAATCAACACACAAACTAGACTCCACAAAGGCCCAACACTCATGTTTTGCAATAAGGTTAAAAATGTCTCTCAATGAAATATGTCACCTCACATTTTTAATTTTTTTTATAAATTCCACTTAATTTATATAAAAAAAAAAAAAAACAAGAGGTAGTATTGAATAAAAGTGTAATAATAATATTAATATTCCATTGCATAAGTTTTGTACGAAGAACATTTGTCAATATTAACAAGTGCTATCCAACAATCAAAGCTCTCGATGCTCTTCAGCTACTTTAAGGACACAATTTGCTTAAAACAAGCTCTAATTGCCAAAGCAAACTATACACTTTCTCCCCTCTCCATTGCAGCCAAAGTATCAAACAACGGTCGGTTTAAAGTCTCCGGCAAGTAAACCGCCAGAGCACCACCCAAAATACCACATGCCCCAAACACCGCAAATGCCACTCGACCACCGAGAACCACCACAAACGGTGCCACTATCGCACCCATATGCAATGCCTGCGCTGCACATCCAAGAGCTGCATTTCTCACTACCGTCGGAAACAACTCCAGTGAATAAATCAGCAGCAAATTATAAGTTCCGGCCATTCCAAAAACACCCAGAATACCACACACCATCCTCACCACTTTCCACTCTCCATGGCTCTTCAATAAGCTCCCTATAATGCAAAACAGCCCACTGAAGAACTGTGTCCCAATCGCTAATCGCTTCCGACCAAATTTATCGAGTAAAACTATCGTTAATATAAATGCCGGCATTTCTGATATTGCATTCAAGAAGACGTTGAGATAGAGGTTGGTTTTGAGATTGACGACGTTTAAAGTAAGGCCATAGTACACAACTGTGACTGTGAAATAAATGGTCATCGTTTGAAATAGCCGGAAACGTGCCACCGGGGACCGGAGAATATCTATGACAGAACCGGTGATGGGTTTTCTTGGTTCCCCTTCAGCTTCATTTGGAGTCATATTGACATCAACTTCTTCGTCCAGGACAAGAAGGACACTGCCGGGAAGGTGTTTTCTGTTTGATTTGGCAATTTGTTGCATGATTTTCATGGCTTGTTTGGTCTTCCCTCGGACTAGGTACCACCGGGGAGACTCATTGATGAAAGCAAGGATCAAAATGAAGAGGATAGAGGGGACGGAAGAAGCGATATACAGAGCACGCCATGATGGGAAAATGTAAGCTATACCTGAAAGAATGGCGATACCGGCGGAGTAGAAGTAGAAAGTGGACATTCCGGCGACGGTGCGCTTGTTGGGGCCGATGGGTTCGGTGGCGAGAACGAAAGCACAGACGCCGACGCCGCCGGTGCTGAAGCCGGTGAGAATTCGGAACAAGACATATGTCCAGTAGTGTGGAGATAATGCGGTTAAATTGCCAAAGACAGCGTTTAATAAGCAAATGACTGCTAGTGACCCTTTCCTTCCCAGTTTGGAGTCCGAGAGATGGCCAAATACTCCAGCACCTGAATCAAAAAAATGATTAAATAGAAAAAACATATGTTAATCATTGTATAATTTCATCACAATCATTAAATTAACAATAAACTCTAATATTTTATGGACTCGGGGTTAATTCAATAATTATAATAAATTAAATCAATAAATTAAATTCTAATAACATTATTTATTAAAAAATTAACAGGATAATATTATGGTGAACAAAATTTAACACGATAGTACGAATTGACGTAAAATTAATAGGTTTGAGTTTTGAAGAGCCATAAATTTATGTCATGTGTACAAATAAAAACAGTTTGGGACGAGGCAAATCAAGCCACTATAGCTCAATTCATATTAACGAGCATAAATGCACAACTCAGGTTGAAGGCATGACCTAAGCCGAACAATAGAAAAGTGCCTATAATTAAGGAATTTAGGTACAACAACTAAGCAAAGTCAATGACTCAAAAGAATTGCAATCAAGAGAGCATTTGAAAGATTTTTGCGATCCCCAACAATCATTCCTGAATGAAGAGATATGTGTAATCTCTCCCACTGGTAAAGGAAACCCTAGTAACAGGACAAAGTTTATATAAAGCAGGCAGGATACATGGCGAAAGGTAAGTAGAATCATCTTTGCATACATATTCCTCTTATACAGACTTAAGTATCAAAGTGTCTTTAATCAAAGTACTTTGGTCCTAGGCAATTTGTTCATTTTTGCAAGTGGGGGCTTTAAAAGAAAAACACAACTATCTTCATCAAACCTAGGAGATATTGCAATTCTACCGCCTACCGATTTGATCTTAATGAATCTAAATGGTAAAAAAGTGGAATTGTTTGACCCACATGATAAACAAGTTGTGTTATGATAGAGTATTTTAACTCGTTTACCACCCAATTGATTACCCGTTTATCAATCAATTACCCATTTAATAGATGATTCAATTTGTTGCAAAATTAAGACTTTTAATTAAAAACTTTTAGTGTTGTAGAATTAACAAATAACAGGGTCAAATCATGCAACTCGTTTAAATAACTGAAACATATTCAATTTTGTAATTTGCCCTTGTTTAATAAACTAGTCGTATACATATTAAATAATTTTTGACACAAATTTGCTAAAACTTGATATGAATCGACCCGACTTAACATGATTTTCATGTCTAATGGTGACCACCAAAGAACGAATCAAAAGTGTAGTTTATTTATTGAGTTATTCCAAGTCAATAATAAAGTATAATGTTTTCCCATGTCACGTGAACAAAAAAATAAGATATGGTGCTAAAAATAAATTTTTTGATAAGATATTTTAACCCCATTGAAAAATAAATCAACAAAATGCAATAGGCATGCAAAATCTTCAACGACTAGCGTAATAGTTGATACCAAAATAGAGAAGATGTTTTTTGAGTACTGAATACGCAAATTATAAACACATAATAATCGCACTTTGTTAGAAAATAAACTTATTTTTGGAGTTATGTTATACTATTGAGTGGTACTTATATTTTGTGTGTTAATAGTGGAGGATTAGCAGTTCGTCTAATGATCACTACAGTTCATTATTGAACTCTTAAGTTACGGGTTTGAAGCTCCATACCCCTTGCTAGTAAAAGTTCAAAAATACTGACAAAAAAAAAATATTGATAAGTAATGTGTAGTAGTAGTCTGTTGGATTTTCAAGTAGTAGAGAAATTGTCGTCTGATATTTTAATGGCTACAAGTGTTAGGATTAGAGGTGTTAATCGAGTCGAGTTTTACAAGATTGAGTCTAAGTCTTTCGAGCTCATTTTTTTTAACGAATTTAAAATATTGTTCACGTTCGGCTTATTTAGTAAATGAGCTGAGTCTGAATCTGAGCCTGAGCCCGAGCGCGAATAGGTCGACTATTTTACATATAAACGAGTCAAATTTTACGAGTTGAGTCGAACCTTGTTTTTTTTTTAAACGAGTCTAACAAATTATTTAAACTTAATTCGTTTAGAACACAAGTCAAGTCTTATCCGAATCGAGCTCTAATAACTTGTCTAGATTAATACCCCTAGGTAGGATAAATAATGGTTTGTTAATATAAGTTTAGGAGTTATGTTTGAGACATATACAAATAGGATATAAGTTTAGTGTTTTAAGATAAATGGAGTTGAGTTCAGTGGGTGAGTGAAGAGTTCCACTTGTGATCGCAATTAAATTGAATAAAAATGTTTCTATTCTGAATATTCAATTTCTTTTTCTATTTTTAGTTAAATTACACTTTAACCCCTCAAATTATAGACTTAATTTCACTTTATCCCTTGAATTATTAATTTTTTTACATTGTCCCTTCAACTAGTTGATTATTTCACATTGTTCCAATCATAAATATCTGTTATCTTTTTGAACGAAAATTATAGATGAGTTAGGGCAAAGTGAAAAAAAAATGCATAGTTATGAGAAAAAATAAAATAACTTTTCAATGTGAAACTAGTTGAGGGTGTGATGTAAAAAATGTGATAGTTGAAGGGACAAAGTAAAAAAAGTGTTATAGTTGATGTGGTCAAAGTATAATTTACCCCCATCTTGCCTTCAAAAAATTGGAATTATAGAAGCAATTTCAACACACTTTTGAAGGAATTTGGAGACTGATTAGTGAATTAGTATGTGGGATCAATTAACTCCTATCTACAAGAACACTATACTCATTGATTTTACTGGTTTATTGGATTCACAGTTTGAATATTGGTTTCTCAGCCTGACAGTGTTTCTTCTCATTTTCTTTCGTCTGTCAGCTCAGCAGTGTTGAAGCTCTTGACGGAAACAAAGAGGAAAAATTTCCAGTTTCGTCATCTTCACAGTTCGTATCAATCTTTTCTAACCTTTTCCCCCAAACTCCAACTCCGAAAAAGAGTTAGAATAGGTTTAACACACAAGCTAATTCTCTTAGGAATGTACGATAAGTCTAAGGCAAGACATCTGTTTCATGAGTTTTGAGTTGAGTCCTACCATGATCACTATCTATCCCACAGAGGTGACATTAACCATTTCAGAAGTCAAAAACAAACAGACATATTAGGGACATAGATTATGATCACCGGGTGTATGAGCGTCAGGATCATGGATTCGAATTAAGAAAATAATCATTTCATATGACACTAGCTTTTCTTGTTTAGATGATCATGTTAAAGAGCATTAAAGAGAGAGAGAGAGAGGGAGCGGAAGCTCACCGATCATGCAGCCTACGAAAAACAGAGACTGAACCAACCCAACTTTATATCTCTCACCACAGACCAAGCCCCACTCAGCCACCGTCGAGCTTCCCTTACCATGGATCCACTCCCATGAGCCAGGCCTAAGGTCACAGACACTATGGGCGTCGGGCGAGCAACCCCGCCCAGAGCCACCGTCCAAGCACCGCCAGCCCGGTTGGCGGTCGGCGAAGATCATGACGGTGGTGTGAATGGACTCGAGAGCCCAAGCCAAGCATGTCAACAAGAAGTGCCTCAATTGCCAGGACCCGAACTCGCCGCAATACTTCTGTAACATGTCATCCACACCCAGTTTCTCGATTTCCGGTGATTCGGCCGGAGGTTCGAGTTCTTGGTCGCCATGGACTGAAAACGAATTGGGTAAAATATCAACCATGGGTTGTTTTTGGGTGTTTGTAGTTTTGTTTTGGAGAGATGGTAATGTCACATGAATTTAACAAAGGAAGAATCCCTATTTTGATGTCTCAACTACTCGCAAGGTAAGTATATAGTTATTCAAGTCTCAAGCAATGGATCACGCTTTTTTTGTTTTCATTTTTCTTTATGGTTATAGAATAAATTCCCTAGTGTCAACTAAATTGATTTGCGAAAGGGTAATTCTTGTTGAATCTAATCTGTTTCATCTAATTTATTGATTTAATCATTCATTATTATTGAATTTACGGTATTTCTTTTTGAAACCCGTTATCGATCCAACAGTTATGATGAATTATATCAACAAAATATATTTGTTTATTAAATCTAAATAATATTATTATTTAAAAAAAATTCTCTGCAATCTAAAGTAATCTGAACTGGTTGAAAAGTCTTTTACATCTCCTATATGGACAACATAGAAAGTCTCCACTTCCCCAAAAAAACATAGAAAGTCTCAAAAAAAAAAAGACAGACAGAATGCTTCTGAAAATGATAGCAATATCTATTTTCATATCAGAACAAACCTGTCGAATATTTACGTAAAAGGAATTCAATATGCAAAACTGTGTAGGTATATGATTCCAAACTTTTAGTTTATTTATTTTTTAGCAAAAATGTTCGTGCATGTACTAAAATAAATGTTTTTTTAAAAAATTTTAATAGTTAGGGGTGTCTGGATCAACTTACGCGCACTTCGATTAATTTTTTCCTCGATCCGCTTAAATATAGGTCATCCACGTTAGAATTAGGATATTCATGAAGGATAAATCTCTCATAATCTAGTACTAAGGGTCTGTTTGGTTAGGAGTAAAAAAATTATAGAAAGTGAAATGAAAGAAATAAAAATGATATAAAATATATTTTCATGAATGCATTTGGTTAGGATAAAAAATTTGCTAGAAAATTTTTTTAAAAAATCACTCTATTGTTTGAAAGAAAGGGAAGTTTCAAGAATTTTTTTTTAATTTTCGAAATTACCCTCAATTATATTAAATCGGTCTAAAGAAAAAAATATATATATTATAATTAAAAAATTAAAAAAAAAAGTGACCCGTAACCAAATCTCAGGACAAGCACCAATATGAAAGTCTTAAAGCCAAATTATATAGTTGATCAAATCCATCCCAATATTTTTTTTAAATTAATAACTAATAAAATATTTTAAGAAAAATAAGAGTAAAATGAGAAGTTAATTATAGATCACAACTTTCTTGCATTTCCTTATGTTTTTTACAAGAAAAAAAAGTTTGTTAGTTGAGAGAAAATTCAAGTATGAAAAAAAATTATTTTTTCATCATTTTCTATTTCATACTAACCAAATACATAAAAAATTTAAAAATATTCTCTTTTTGTCATTTTTTACCATTCTCTTACTAAACAAATGAATTTTAAGGGGTTGACATGATTCGAATTTAAGACGTGTGAGTTTACGATTCGTCTATGCTACTATTTGATGTATCTTTAGGGTTAAATACATGTTTTCGATGTCAACAATGATGGAACGAAATCTAAGAAATGTGGTAGTAGATGAGTAGGGGCGGAACCAAAAATTTTATTCAGGGTGGACACTTTAATTACACACATTAATATTTTTTCTCCTAATCAATCACATTATATAATATATTTATATTTATATTTATTATATTATATTTAATACATGAAGTTTATTTAACATAAAAAATACCAAAATATATATATATTGTTAGGAGCGGAGCTATTAATGTCTATGAGGGGGCAAAATATAATTGGTATAAAAAAATATTTAGTTGAAATTGATACAAAAAAATTCAGTTCAAGAATAACAAAAAGTAAGAATAAATATAAAATTATTGTGAAATAGTAAATTCAATTTTTATTTAGCCACAACATAATCCTAACAAAAAGACACATAATAATTTTTTTAGTACATTTTAACCTAATTATATCTTTATAATAAGATAGCTCACAAGTTGAATTTTATCCTCTATATATTTTTCTCCCCAAAAATATTACATCACTCATTTTTATCGCATACTCAATTATTTTAATATTTAATTAATTTATAATTTAATATAATTTTTATTTCAAATATTATTCCTACACGATACTGTACATATCTTAACAATTTTTTATCGAATTACGTATTTTGTATATAAATTAAATATAAATTAATTTTTTTACTAATTTTCTATCCATGTGCACAATTACAAGTCCGTAGTAAAACTACTCTTTCTTTAGTTGCAAGATTTGGTTGAGATTATTATCATCTTATAGAAAAATTCTCTATTCAAAATAGTTTGAAATATTTTTAGGTTACGACATTTTATCTTTTGTATATAACCATATTTTATTAGGTTGTAGACTAATATTACTTAAAAAGGAGTAAATGAAAACTAAATACTGTTTTTAAAAATTAACAAACATTGTGATCAGGGGCGAAACCAAGAATTTTGCTCAGAGTGGACACTTTAATTACAAACATTAATATTTTTTCTCCTAACCAGTCACATTATATAATATATTTATAATATTTATATTTATATTTATTATATTATATTTAATACATGAAGTCCATTTAACATAAAAAATACCAAAAAAATGTATATTGTCAGGGGCGGAGCCATTAATGTCTATGAGGGGAGCAAAATATAATTGGTATAAAAAAATATTTAGCCGAAATTGATACAAAAAAATTTAGTTCAAGAATTACTAAAAAGTAAGAATTAAGATAAAATTATTGTGAAATAGTAAATTCAATTTTTATTTAGTCAAAACAAAATCCTAACAAACAGACACAAAATAATTTTTTAAGTACATTTTAACCTAATTATATCTATATAATAAGATAACTCACAAATTGAATTTTATCCTCTATATATTTTTCTCCCCAAAAATATTATGTCACTCATTTCTATCACATACTCAATTATTTTAATATATTGATTTATTTATAATTTAATATAATTTTTATTTCAAATATTATTCCTACATGATAGTGTACGTATGTTAACAATTTTTTATCGAATTACGTATTTTTTATATAAATTAAATATAAATTAATTTTTCACAAATTTTCTATCAATGAGCACAATCACAAATCTATAGTAAAATTATTCTTTATTTAGTTGCAAAATTTGGTTGAAATTATTATCATTTTATAGAGAAATTCCCTATTTGAAATAGTTTGAAATATTTTTAGGTTACAACCTTTTGTCTTTTATATATAACCATATTTTATTAGGTTATAAACTACTATTATTTAAAAAATAGTAAATGAAAACTAAAATCTGTTCTTAAAAATTAACAAACATTGTGATAGATAAATAAAAACATTGTATATTCGTCAATATACAAATAGATCATTTACTCAATCTAAAACTAACATTTATTTTAGAAGGTTAGTAGTCCACTAATTTATTGAAAAAAAAAAGACTAGAACCATTTTCAAAAAATTAGGGGGAGCAAATATACTAGATATTAGATCAGATAGGTTTTAGTCAAGTGGACCAAAAGCTTTGTTTTTCAATGATGGGTGGGCAAAAAGTTTTGTTTTTAATGTTGGCCAAAATTTTTATTTTTTTAATAGGTTTCGGTGGATTGTAATAGATCAAAATTTTGATTTTTTAATAAGTTTTGGTAGATAATTGTGGACTCAAGATTTTTTATTTTAAATGGGTTTAATTTTTTAATTCTTTTGGGTAAATAATATGGGTCTAATATTTTTATCTTGAGTTTTGGGTGGGCACAAATAATATATTATACAAATATATAATATATATAACTAACTAAAAAAAAAAAAAAAAATTTGAAGGGGGCACTTGCCCACCGTCCCCCATGCCGCCCATGTAGATGAGTATTACAAAATCAATATCCATAATTGGACATAAAATACAAATATAAAAAAAAACATGATAGTTGAAAGCAATGCCCAAATAAATAAAAAAATAAAAAATAAACAAAGAAAAATAAAAATAAAAAATAAAAAAAAGGTGGACATTGATTTTTGTTGTGTTTCTTGTTTCGAACGAAATTTTTATTTTTATTTACCACAAAATAAAATAAAAATTTCTGTGTTTATTCCTGGACAGTATCTCTAAAAATACATATTGAAAGTCTTTAGTATAGTTTTAGGTCACTTTGATGATAAAAAGATGTGTTCCTTATATCACACGCCATTTCATTGAAAAAAAAGTAGAAATATATGCTCTTTCTTCTTCACTTTCATGCCTTTATTCATTGATTCTCCGTTTTAGTTCCGACCATTATCAGATAAGAATTGAATATATAAGCACTCAGGTCATTTTATCGTCTACCCCTTGTAATTAAATCTAAACTTTAATGATACTCTTTCTCGATTCTAAAATTTCATTTTCACTCCTTGTCGATGTTTGTCAGATTACGACGTTAACGACAATAATTGATTTACAAAAATACCCTTGATTATTTTATTAGATAAATTTTATCCACACCCCTTGTAAATAAACTTAACTTTAATAATATCCCTGTAAATAGACTTGACTTAAACAACACATCCTTTCGATTTTGAAATTTTAATGCACTATCTTTTAGTTCTATTATATTAGTGTTTAGGTACATCAATTTAATATTTAATTTTATCAAGTTAATGTCTTTTATTTAATTTAAACTAAATTAACATTTTATCTCATCAAATTAACATAAAATTGATAATTAATTTTATCAAATTAGTATTTAGTTATATCAATTTAATTTTTTATTTCGTCAAATTAATACTATTTCTTTAATCTAACATTAAATTAATATTTAATTTCATCAAATCAACAATAAATTGATATTCAATTTTATTAAATTAAAATTTAATATATTAGATAAAATATTAAAGCCTGAGGATTATTTACACAACTAAATAGGGTTAATTATAAAATGTCTTGTTCAAGTTTTGGTCACATTCAAACAACTCCCTCTAGTTTTAGTTTGTAACAATTTATTCCCTCAAAGTTTAAATATTTACAAATTAAGTC